TGGTTTGTCCATTTTACCCCTCCTTCCTCTTTACATTATTAAATTTTGTGGAAATTATATTATATTAAGTATTAACTTCCAAGTTCCATCATAATTTATACAGGTAAGAGGCGTGAGACCAATGCCATTAGGAGAAATGGCAAATTTGTTCAACACTTTGAGATTGATGGTTTGTCCTGGACTGGTAAGTTATTTATATTATTTATTATCTACAATAGCAATGTATTTCCATTTATTTTTTTAACCCTAAACAATTTTTGCATTATTTTCAGGATCCAAATGCGTTTAATTTAGTAGCAAGCACAACCTTCTATTCAGAAAGTACACGTGCAATGCTATGTCTGATCAGAATAGAAACAGATCCAGCTGACAGAACACAGCTCCGCATGACAGTTGCATCAGCGGACCCCACACTAACATTCGAGTATGTTTTTTGTTTTTTAATTTTCATATGTAAATATATGAACGAATTTGGATATGGTTTGACTATTTGTATACACAGGTTGAAGGAATTCATCAAGGAACATTTAGTTAACATTCCTACAGCCGCCAAGCCATTGCCACCTCAGCAACCTCAGCCACCACCAATTGCCACGTCAGATCCAGGGGCTTTGCTTGCTGGTTTGCTTTAAAAAAGATGAAAAATTTGTAAAATGGATATATAATACACATTTACGCCTTTGCCCTTATCTTCCAACAAGTGGTGAAGGAACGCATTGATACGGGAATGAGCTGGCGGGGTTAAATGAGAGGCGTAGGATTAGAGTTGGGTTTGATGAGGGTATTGTGTTGGGTTTTTTTTTTTTTTTTTTTTTTTTATAAAAAAAACAATGAGGTTGTGTTATTATTAGGTCATGTTTTTCTCATTTTTGGTGAGGGTTTATTTGTTTATAGATTTTTTTTTTCAACTAGTTTTTGGACGTTTGTTTTGATAGAATTTGTGAAGGTTGAACTTTGAATATGATTGTAACATTATTATTGCATTTGGTTGTTGTTAATGCATAGAAATATTTGGTTGTCTCATAAACTTGCATGTTATCATGTTCATGTGATATCCTAAATTTCTTGTCTTCTATGGTTTCAAAGAATTAAACTTGGATTTTTTTAGAAATCTTTCATCTAGATCACAGATTTCATTTCCAATCAAGGTACTTTGATCATTACTGTTTCTTAAAATTATGTCTTGATAACTTTTGTTTGCATGACAAGAATAAATGTGTCATTTTCTTTAAACACCATGCATCAGTTCACAACCTTTTGACACAAAATTAAGTGTACGTTCAATATAAAGGATTCTTCAATAGAGATGCGGAAATTGAGCCATGTTCTTCAATATCTTTTGGAGATACTGTGTAACAAGAGAAACCGATGTTCAACCATTTACCTTCTTTTTCTGAGTCATGCTTGAAACTCGAAAGTCGAATCAATAAGAAGTCGATGGGTCTTAGATTTATTGATGCTTAGGACCGATACAAAAAAGAAGGGATCAAAGTTTTTGAACCGGTGTTTGATGCATATGCAGAAAGAATAGGGATAGCTGGCTGTATCGATTTTCTTTGAGGATGCAACTTAGGTCAACAATGATTATAGTGTATTCTTTTAACAATGACAACATTTTCTTAAAAAAAAAAAAATTCAGGAATGATAGTGTATTTTTTCATATCACCAAGATGTTTTTTTCTTCTTATGATTCTCCCATTCTCATAAAAATGTTAGAAGTGTGCTTTTAATTTACGTTTTTACTTTTCTAATTTTTTTCATTTTCAAGAGAATTTCAGCTTTGTATTTGTTACTTATAATCATTTTCATGAGAATAACATTTATCAATGTAATTTATTTTTAATCTAATGTCATATTTACACTTGTATTTTTATGTTTTCGTAATTTCTATTTACCAATTCATGAGAATGTCAGTTTTGTACTAGGGGTGACAAAAACTAGCACCACACGTTAATCCAACACAAAATAAAGGAGGTTGGATAAAATATTTCAAACCATTTAAATAAATAAGTTGACACGACATAAATAAACAAGTTGACACGACACGACACATAAATTAAACGGGTAAGGTTAGTGTTTAAAATTTTAACTCAAATATGACTCGTTTATTTATATGCATGTTTTTTTAATTATTTAAATAAACTAGAAAGATCCAAAACAAAATCATATATAAAAGAAAACCTTTGGATCGAGTCGTTGTGTAATATTGAAAAGACTTAACCGTCTATATCAAAATATCATTTCAATTATTTTTGTCTCTTCCAAACTAAACAGTCCCCTCGACCACTCCCTCCTCCTCATGATCCCACCCACCGCTTCCTCCCCCAACTCATACTCTTTCCATTTTGCCCTCTAAACTTACTATGATTTTAGCCATTCCGCCTCTCTCAACTATAACTTTTTTCCTTTCCACCTACCAAACTCCTACACTTTTAATACACTTTTAACATGTTAAATGTTTCAACCTCACATGACACAACACATTTTAAGGTGTACCCCTAACTCGGAACCTGACACAAAAATAAACGGGTTGAAACAACACGATGCGTTAATTAAGCGATCGAATTAGGGTCAAGCTTTCACAACCCATTTATTGTTTCAACACAACACGTTTCCTAGGTCTAATTTGCACGCTTGTAATTTATGTTGTATTCTTTCAAGAATGTTGTTTAGTTGTTTAACAATATTGGTATAATAACTGTTCATATATGTATAGTGTAATTCAAAAAAGGACCCGCTACAGTAAATCTAAAATTAAAATGACATTTTTTTTCAAGAATTTCATCGATTACCTAAACTCCAATTAGTTTCCAAAAGACTGGGATTTAATTTTTTCTTAATGATTTGACTAAGTTGCATAAAATATAAGTTTCATTTTATCTCTCTTAAAAAAATATGTTGTACTCTTTTAATAACCATTTTTAATATAAATATAACTAATATGAAAGATAATTATAATTATGGTATGTTAATAATAATTATCAAGGTTGTCAAGATCGGGATCCTACGTATGATCGTTTTTGGGCTTGCAAGATCGGGATCGAGATCCTAAGATCTCACAAAATAAAATATAATTTTAATTTATAATTTTTAATCATGAAAAATAGTTCAAACATTCAATTTTTCGTTCAAAAGTTATAAAAACTTCAAAATATTAGTCATAAGTCGCAACACAAAATGATAAATGCTAAATTGGTAAGGGTAAAAGACATAAAATGGTAAAAAAACCTCATTTGCAAAAAATAAATAAATAAATAAATAAAATAAATAAATCAAGGGAGGTAGGATCGGATCGGATCTCGATCCTACTTACGATCTCACGATCCTAACTGCGATCCTACCCCAAATACGATCTTTTTACGATCCGGATCGTTTTTCATACCTAGGATCGTAGGATCGTACGATCCTACGATCAGAATCGCGATTTTGACAACCATGATAAATATACAAATGAACATAACCATTAAATGTCATAAAATGGCCACCAATAATAATTTATTTGTTCTTTAAGTCACTAAACTTCTAATTCTTTCAAAAAGACAAACAAACTTATATTTTTTGGTTTCATTATACCGTTGAGTATATTTTTTTTTACCAGGGATACCGGTTCTCAACCTACGTGGACTCCACGTCACGAGTCATGTCCATGTAGACATTGTTATAGTGAAACCAAAAGAAGTTTTTTTATTGGTATGATTGGATACAATTAAAGTTTAGTATTTGTAAATGTACGAGCAACGTTAATATATGACAAAAGTTGAAATGTAGCTCTTTCATCGTTCAAGAGTAGCAAAAGAGTTCATCCATCGTAAATTCTCATTTATAAGATACACAAAAACAACAATATGATGCTCCAATCAATCCACGACCTTCATCTATAATAGGTTGTACTTAGAATCCATAAAGTTACATCAACAAAATTTATCGATATCAACCAACATTGGCATCATACATTACTCGCGGGTGAATTGATTGCAGATGATACTTTAAAATTACATTTGACACAATTACTTAGAGTCCATAATCTAAGCGTTCTTTTTTAATCTTAAGTTAGTTTCAAACTAAGACCGGATGGTATGGGTGAAGAGTTTCCCTCACTTTTTTGTGGGCTACACCACCATTTCCCTCACTTTCCTTTCCCTCACCTAAAACCCAAAGAATGGGTGGGAAGCTCCCCTCACTATTTTTTATTCTTTTTTTAAAATATATTTCATACATATATTATACTCATTTTGTAGGGAATTAAAAACCATGAATTTTGATATATTTTTTATATTTTTTAGTAGGTATATAATTTTATAAATATTAAAAAAGATAAAAAAAAAACTGACCAATAGAATGAGGAGAGAGAGTGCGGCACCCCCTCCCCCACCTCTTTCCCACGGGTTGCTTCCGTCATCCATGGTATTGTGTTCCAGTGAGAGGGAAGCTTCCCGCTCCCCTTTCTCGCTTCCATTCCTTCCGGCCTAATAAAAGGTTCTTAATTATAAATATGTAAGCTTTGTGTGACCAACTCTTCGTTTAAAAGAAAAAATATCATAAAGTGGAAACTAATATTACTTTGTTTTTCTTTTTAAATCACTAAACTTTTAATTGTATCCAATTAAGCAACAATCTTTTTTCTTTTGATTTCATTACACCATTATCTATGTGGACATGTGGTGAGGCCAAGTCCATTTAGGTTGCGAACGGAATGGTATAATGAAACCAAAAATAGAAGTTTTTTTGGTCAAGTGGTTATGAAAGTAAAAACTTTACGATTTAAAAAACACATAAAATATTATTGGTAGTAATTTTTATTATATTTTTCTTTGTAATAAGTGATCAACTTCATTTTATATATTCGATAGAATTTAAATAGCAATATATCTTGTATCTCCAACGAATTAATATATTAACGACTAACTAACTAATAACAGCTACACCCAGTTAATACAATTTCTGAAATTCACATTTCGAAAGAAAAAATAATAATAAGAGAAGGAAAAAAAAGAATGCGCCAATTTATAATGGCGGGAAACATATCTAATATGCGAGCGAAGATAAAAGTCCTCTTCCTTTGTCATCAGATCCACCTAGATTTATGAAGCCCTAAAACCCTCTTCTTCCTACCAATTTCGTTCCCATTTTAACACAAGTCACAAGCTACACGAGAAGAAGCACATAAATTTATGATCAATTGGCGCGTATTTACTCATTTATTTCAGTTAGGGTTAGGGTTTAGGAAAATTTCCACACTTACAATCAAGATATTGTAATGGCGAACAAAATCACCGATGAATTAATCACAACGGTTCAATCCATCGTAGGCCAAGATTATTCCAAGATGGATGTACTCAGAGCTCTTCACATGGCGAACAACGATGCCACTGCCGCAATTAACATAATCTTTGACACCCCAAGTTTCAAAAGATCGGAACCCCCAAAGCCAAAGACCCCAATGGTCTCGAGTCGTAATGCAACTGTGAAGACACAAACTCCGGTTACCAATTCCAAAACGAATAGTGTAATAAGTCGTTCTGTAGATGACGAACCTTGTACAAGCAGGTCAGTGGCGCCGGAGCGTGAAGTTATCAAGGGAAACGAAATCGTGAATAATCTAACTGGAAGTAGCAAATGGTGGTTTGTGGGTTGTTGTGAAGTGGCGGGGTTGTCTACATGTAAAGGAAGTAAGATAAAACCCGGTGATCAATTGAATTTCACGTTTCCACCTGAGAAATCGTTGAGTGGACCCTCTCCGGCCAAGTTTGGTAGCGTCGGCCGTGGCAGGCAGCCCTCTGCCTGTTCAGAGATTGTGAGGTTTTCTACATCAGCTTCCGGAGAGGTGATGTACGCTGTACACATATCTTTATTTATAATTATAACTAAATTGTCCCTGAAAAGCTGATAGCCATCTTCATCTTGAACAGATTGGTCGGATCCCAAATGAATGGTCTCGATGCCTTTTGCCTCTTGTTAGAGATAAGAAGGTTCAAATTCAAGGTTTTTGTAAATCTGCTCCAAATAATCTTGGTCTTATGGATACCATTCATCTGTCTATCAGGTATGTTTGTGGTGTTATTACCTAAAATCACCTACTTTTTCTGATTTTGATGTTAATATTTGTTCAAACAGTGTTTACATCAACAGTTCAATGTTGCACAAAAGCCATCAGACATCTGTCAAGGTACCCACCACTTCAGTTGATGAAACCTCCATCCAACCTCTTCCAACTTTATTCCGATTACTTGGACTAGTTCCTTTCAAAAAGGTATTACATTTTCGTAATTTACCAAAATACCCCTATGCTGGTTGGAATTTGGAAAGGCTCATTCTTTTGTCCTTGATTGTAATTAGGCAGAATTTACACCTACTGACTTATACACAAGGAAGCGAAGATTAGACATAAAGGATTCTTCTGGTGTTCCTCCTCCATTACTCAATGCTCCCAAACTCAAAAACTCATCTTCAAATGGAAGTACAGTTGAACCCGAAGAGACAATTTCAGATAATGATCTTGACAATATTGTTGGTGTTGCAAATGGCTCTGAGTTAGAGGTATTAATATTAATATTATTTCATCTTAATAACTTTTATGTCTTAACAAAGAATCTGAGAATTTTCATTTTATGTTTTTATTGTTTTAGGAAATGGAACCTCCTAATACTTTATTGTGTGAGCTTCGCCCCTATCAAAAACAAGCACTTCATTTCATGGTTAATTTGGAAAAAGGACCATGTGTTGATGATGCAGCTACTACTCTTCATCCATGTTGGGATGCATATCATCTTGCAGACAAGTATGTTTTTTTTCTTCTTGTTTCACTAAATTCTTTTTTTATGTGTTTAAATTGATGTTTTTTCTTGTATATAGGAGGAAATTCATAGTGTATGTGAATTCATTTTCTGGAGAAGCTACTGTAGAATTTCCAAGTACCCTTCAAATGGCAAGAGGAGGAGTATGTGACTATGTTTTTGCTTATAATTACATTTTTGCCATGTGTTATACTTTTATTATATACACAACTGATTTGAATTTTGACATGATAATATAAAGATTTTGGCAGATTCAATGGGGCTTGGAAAGACTATAATGACAATATCACTCCTTCTTGCTCATACTGAAAAAGGTGGATCATTAGATAAAGATTCCACCAGTGAAATCAATGGCTCAGATCAATCTTCATCATCTCCAAAAAAAGCAGCTAAATTTTCTGGTTTTGATAAGCTTAGAAAGCAGAAACAATCACTCATTGGTGGTGGGAATCTTATCATATGTCCCATGACTCTTATAGGTCAATGGAAGGTAAAAAAAAAATTCTTGAATTCTTCACATTTCAAAGTTTTTGTAAAATAAGTTCTTTAAAAATTTAATGTTTGTGAACATTGGTAATAGGCAGAGATTGAAAGCCATTCAGAACCAGGGACTTTGTCAATTTATGTTCACTATGGGCAAAGTCGTCCAAAAGATGCCAAAATATTAGCTCAGAGTGATGTTGTGTTAACCACATATGGAGTTGTAGCTTCAGAATTTTCATCTGAGGTAACTTAGAATAGTTTCTGTTTTTTTCTAAGATGAGAAACTATAAACTTTATGTTTATTTTATATTTTATAATTTATATTTTGTAGAATGCTGAAGAACGTGGTGGAATTTATTCTGTGAGGTGGTTTAGGGTGGTGCTTGATGAAGCACACACAATAAAATCTTCAAAAAGTCAAATTTCCATGGCGGCAGCTACCCTTGTTGCTGACCGGAGATGGTGTTTGACCGGTACCCCTATCCAAGTATGACTTTGGTCAACTTTTTTTTTTATAAAAATGTATTATAGATTATGTTTTTATACTCTTATGAATTGTTATAGAACAATTTGGAGGACATTTTCAGCCTTCTTCGGTTCTTAAGGATTGAACCATGGGGGAGCTGGTCTTGGTATGTTTTTTATTTAAAATAATTTAAATAAGTTTCTTTTGGTTTATATAATTTCTTTAATTATATAAATAGGTGGAACAAGCTAATTCAGAAACCTTTTGAGGATGGAGATGAAAGGGGCTTAAGTTTGGTCCAAAACATTTTAAGACCAATAATGTTAAGAAGAACAAAGTTTAGCACAGACAAAGAAGGAAGGTTAGAAATTATAAACTCATAAGTCCTCTAATTTTGAATAAATTACAAAAATGGTCCTTGAGTATTTATATTTTTTGCAATTTCCGTCCCAAAACGTTTTCTCTTGCAGTTTTAGTCCTTATTTTAGTTTTTTGTAACTATGTTGGTTGTAATTCTATCATTTCTTAATGATATCGCCTTTATTCCAAGTAAAATGACTATATTACCCTTGTTCTTGTCACAGGCCTATATTAGTTCTCCCACCTGCTGACATGCAGGTAATATATTGCCAACAAACAGAATCCGAAAAAGATTTCTACGATGCTCTTTTTAAGAGATCCAAGGTACCCCATTTTATAAACTTGTAGTCTTTTTATCTTTTCTGCTATCTAATAATCTTTATTTATTTATTTTTTTTTACAAATCTTAGGTAAAATTCGATCAGTTTGTTGAACAAGGACGTGTTCTTCACAATTATGCTTCCATTTTGGAGCTACTTTTACGCCTTCGCCAATGCTGCGATCACCCGTTTCTCGTAATGAGGTCAGAAAAATACAAACATGACATCATCATCATCTTATGAATAAAATTTTAGGTTATAATTTGTAATTTCTAATGAGAAATTATGGTTTTGAATTTTGACACAGTCGAGGTGACACTCAAGACTTTTCAGATTTGGATAAGTTAGCAAAACGGTTTCTTAAAGGTGGTAATAATAATAATGACACCATGGAAGAAGGTAAAGAAATGCCTTCAAAAGCTTACATACAAGAAGTTGTTGAGGAATTAAGAAAAGGGGAACAAGGGGAATGTCCGATTTGTCTTGAAGCTTTTGAAGATGCAGTTTTAACACCATGTGCTCATAGATTATGTCGCGAGTGTCTTTTATCAAGTTGGAGAAACCCTGCTTCAGGTCTCTGCCCTGTTTGCAGGTATAATAAAAAAGTTTACATTTTTTTTTGTTGGGTAGGGGTAAATTGGTCTTTTTTTTTTTAACTAAGGGTGACAATATCTTTGGTTGGCAGGAAGTCCGTGAGTAAACAGGAACTTATCACTGCACCAACTGACAGTAGATTTCGAGTTGATGTTGACAAAAATTGGGTGGAATCATCAAAAGTGTCTGCTCTTTTGAAAGATCTAGAAAGTTTTCGGTCAACAGGGTCAAAAAGCATTGTTTTTAGTCAATGGACTGCTTTTTTAGACCTTCTTCAGATCCCTCTTTCTAGGTAATCATCTCTCTATTCTCCATCATGACATGACATGACATGATATGACATGACATGATATAACATGGTAAAAAATGTGTCCAGGAATAATATTTCATTTGTTCGATTGGATGGGACTTTAAATCAGCAACAGCGTGAAAAAGTCATAAAGCAGTTTTCAGAAGAAAGTGATATTCTGGTGTGTTAACTATCATCACACCTTTAATTTATAAGCGTATTTTAATGGTTTTGTGAGTTTTATTTTTAATATATGTTTGTATGATGATACAGGTATTGTTAATGTCATTGAAGGCTGGAGGAGTTGGAATTAATCTAACAGCAGCATCTAATGCATTTGTCATGGTATGTGATTCCATCCCTTTATTTTAATTTTAAAATATTGATTTAAAAAAAAATTAATTCTGGTTTATTAATTTTTTGTATGTTTAGGATCCTTGGTGGAATCCTGCAGTTGAAGAACAAGCTGTGATGCGCATACACAGAATTGGACAAACAAAAAGTGTTTCAATCAAACGTTTTATTGTGAAGGTACAACTTATTTTATATTTTTATTAATTTTCTTGTTATTTTTCAACACATGAAAGCCTAGTGTTAAATACATAGGGCAAGTAGGATGCTATAATTGGGTAGATTAAAAAAAGAAAAAAGTACTAGTGTTGTAATAGAAAGAAACGAAAGTTGGATAATAAATGAAATTACATTGGTATTAGAAGTAAGATTAAAGGTGGGTTAAATAAAAATATGTATTTTAGGGTACGGTTGAGGAAAGAATGGAGGCAGTACAAGCGCGAAAACAACGGTTAATTTCTGGTGCCTTGACAGACCAAGAGGTTCGAAGTGCACGTATTGAGGAGCTTAAGATGCTTTTCACTTGATTTTAATTTTGTATTTTTAAATTGCTAATTTTGCTTCATATTTAAATATTATACTTTTTTTGGTTTTAGTTTGTTTAGGGTTTTATGATACAAATTTGTATAGTTGAATTATGCAATTGTTGTCAATTTTGAAGTTAAGGATTGCTTTTGTGATGTTTGGGACAATTTTGTTGTGACTAATTTTAGTTTGTTATAAAAATAAGGAAGTATTAATTGTTGTAATATATCGATATTCAAAAAAGAGTTTCATCAAAATGGATTAATATCGTTAAATACAAGTTTCATTTGGCTTTCAAGAATCAATTCGGCCAATTGCATTCGGGCCAACCACCTCATCACTCGGTTTTTTTCCAAATGCTACCAACTTTCTTTTATGTAGTTGTCTTTCTTCCTCGAGCAAATAAATAAAGTGGTTTGGGATTGTAGGGTTGATAAAGCTCTGGATCTTGATGAGCTTACTTTTGGGGTCTTCAAAAGGTTCCGAGATTTTGTCCAAGATGACATTAATTCATTAATTTGGTGTTGGATTTTCAAAATTCTAGCATGATCCTAAAAGGTGTTAACCCTTCTTTCCTGTTTTAATCCCCAAGATATGCGAAAAACTGCTGCCACCTCTGCGCCACGTCAACTTCATCACCAACCCACTAGACATTGGAAATGGTTACCACTATACAAATATTATTTTATTTTTTATTTTTTTAACATTATATTAAATAAAAAACAAAATACAAACCATAATAAACAAAAACCATAAGTTAAATAAAAAACACACATTATATTAATATAAAAGACACAAATTAAAATCCTAAAATTCTTAAAAAAACATAAAAAAATTAAAATCCTAAATTACTTAAAACCATAAATATTAGCACTTAAATTCCATATTTGTCCCATACTTGTCGTTGAATTTTAAGAAACGTCGCAAGATTTTCCGGGTCGATATCCAGTTGGGGCTTTGTGTTTATGATTTGAAGATCGATAAGAGCTATTTTTTGGCGACGAGCTACCTCTGTTGTTTCGTTTTTTTTTCTAGAAAAACTAGAGCTTTATCTATGGATGCCGCAAGCTCGTCTTCGCTAGTTGCCGGTGCTTTTCTGCTTGAAGACATTCCCTTTCTTGCTTTGTCCCTTCCCGGTGGTCGGCGAAGTTGGACGTCCGGTGGACCCTCCCCCTCGGTGGCGTCGAAGTCATCGTTGAGGTCGAGTCCAAAACCCACGTCCGACTCGGACGTTCTTGCCCTTTTGTTGGAACCGGTGGTAGATCCCGAATGCGTCGTTTCCGGATATAAAACCCATTTTGGACCGTTACGACAAATTTCTCACGCTTTTTGGTGGCCGAACGGTTTACCATTGGTGGTAATTTTGTATTCGTAGCCCGCGGTTGCTATCATGTTGAAATTGTTGCTACCACTTCTATGCATATATATATATATATATATATATATATATATATATATATATATATTTTGAGATCTTTTTTTTTTTTTTTTTGCCTTCGACGAGTTGGTTGTTGTGTTTCTTGGACCTGTTCGTCGTTGTCGTCATTGTCGAGGTTTATAGGTTGAGATTGAGATAATGAGACTTGAGATGGTTGAGATTGTTGAGGTATAAAAGATTGTTGTTGAAATTGTTGAGAAAGTTGTTGTTGAAAGGCTTGAAATTGAGGTTGATTGAATTGTTGTGGTTGTTGTTGGTAGAAGTTTGGGGGGTATGAAGTGGTGAATAAAGGTTGTTGAATTGGAGAGGTTAACATTGTTTGTAGCTAACATTTGCATTTAGAGTGTTTTGATTTGAATCCATATAGAAAGAAACAAAATATATGAGAGAGATGAATGTTTTTTGTAGAAGGTAATAAAATGTAGATAGTGTTTTTTGAAGTGTAAAATGTAAATAGAATAATGGGTAATTTATAGGTGAAGTTGATTGTGTTTCTTTTAATATATATATCTATCTATATATCTATCTATCTTATATATATCTCTCTCTCTATATATATATTATTTCTTAAACGGTCAAAAAAAAAATCCAGCCGTTACAAAATAAACACTCCCATTGGTCGTCTCGTCCCGTCTCCGGAGCCACGTAACACACACCCCACCGGAGTTGGTGGTGGTGTTCACGCGTGGGGAGCCCAGCCACGTCAGCCCAAGACGCGTGGGTACTCACCCACACCAGATAGCCTTAGTCTTTTACAAGGTTTTGAAAATCGAACCGATCATCTTACCTGTTCGATGGTTCAACTGGTCCAACAAGTTGGACCGGTCTCGAAAACCGAAAAAATCGAATGATATCATAATTACATTATTATTAATTTTAATTATATAAAAAATATAAAAAATGAAAAAATAAATAAATATATTTTTTAAAATTCCCGGTTTTACCGGTTCACACGACGAACGTTTTTTTGGCTTCTAAAAACCGGATCTGGGACTCCAGTTAAACCGGTTGTACCGGCCGGTCCGGTCTGATATTCAAAACATGGGTCTTTTAGTTTGATAGGGTGCCATTATAAAACAATTTGTAAACTGTTAGCTAATAGGTTTGTTGAAATTATAAGTAGTGTCTTTACCGTTGATCAATCGGTTTTTATTAAAGACCGTTAGATCCTTGGCTGTCCCTTAATGCTCAACTGAAATTATTGGGTGGTTCAAAGCCAATTGGAAGAAACTGATGGTATTTAAGGCGGATTTCAAAAAAAGCCTACGACTATATTTCATGATATTATTTAATCGAAATTATGGATAGAATGGGGTTCGGGCCGAATTGGTGTCATTGGATTAAAGATGCATTATCATTTACATTCACGGTTTGATTTTAGTGAATGGTTCCCTGATGAGTTTTGTATTGAGTGCAGCCTAAGGCAAGGTGTCTCTTTATCTCTACTTCTTTTCAATTTAGCTATGGAAGGCCGTCATGTTGTCTTGCATGAAGCCAAGTTTTTTTTTTTTTGAACAACCACATTTTAGTAAAACCCACAAGCAAGTAAACCAACAGGAAAAGAAAACAATTACATTGGTTCTTTTTTTTGCCAAACAGACCAATTATTAATACACTTAGGTTTTCTATGCTTAACCCAAGGAAAAAAAAAAGAAAACAATGTTATCAAATAATTGATCTTTCATCGCCTTGCATGATGCTTTTTAGGTGTCAAGGTGCGGATTAATTTGTAGGTTTCAAATAGGGAAATATCCAGAAAAGTCCTAAAATTTTACCCTAATTTAAAAAAAGCTCCAAACTAAAATTTGTTTACGAAAAAGCATGAATTACCGGTAAAAATGACGATTTGACCTCTTTTTTCCGGTTTACCGGTTTTATTACTTACATGTTTCACTAAAGTCCCATTATTTTATCATAATTTGCGAATAAGTCCCAAAATAAAATTTACTATTGATTTGACTCTTTGCTTCATGTAACATATATTTTATCGGTTTCATTGCCGACTTAGACACCTAATCATTAAATTAGCTGATAAGATGAATACGATGGGTTATATAATGTCACATTTACTGTAAAATGTGATACCCATCTCATCGGCTCATTTATGACTATGTATCTACGTCAGCAATGAAACAAATAAAATGTGTGTTTCTAAGAAAAAAGGCAGAAAATGAGTTGATGTCTGATGAGATGGATATATTGGGTTACATAAGATTAGATAGACAATTTGATATTTCTTATAAACGTAAAAAATTAACGCAGTTGTTGTTACTTTATGTAATTATTGTAGTCTTCGTTGGATGCATTTTATGTTCCAAAAAGATATACAATACATCAGGATATCAAGTTTTATGCTAAACATAGCATTATATAACTCAACATATCCATCTCATCATCTCATTTAATGACTAGGCGTCCGGGTCAGCAATGAAACCGGTAAAATATATGTTACATAGAGAAAAGAGTCAAATCATCAGTAAATTTTATTTTGGGACTTATTCACAAATTAGGGTAAAATAATGGGACTTTAGTGAAACAAGTAAGTAATAAAACCGGTAAACCGGAAAAAAAATGTCAAATTGCCATTTTTACTAGTAATTCATGCTTTTTCGTAAACAAAATTTAGGTTGGGACTTTTTCGTAAATTAGGGTAAAATTTTAGGACTTTTCTGAAGATTTCCCTTTCAAATATCTTTTATGCAGATGATGCTATGTTGCTATGTGGAGAATGATAGGTGTATTGTTAAAGTTTTTAAGGTGCTTTTTGGCGTTGGGGCTTGAAACCAACTCACATAAAAGTAAGTTGATTAATGTTGGAGTGAACTTTTCTTAGGTTGAAGAATTGCAGGTTTTGTTGGGTGTTTAGCAACTTAGATACCTTTTATTTACCTTGGGCTTCCTGTGGGAAGAATATGAATCGTATCAACCCTTTGATGGATGAGCGGAAACTCTCTTAGCCAATCAAAAGAAAGTCATGATGATTTTTTGAGTATGGTGATTATGTGTGATAAAAACGTTAAATGAAAGTAATGGTCATATTGGGCAAAACTCGTTTGGGAATACTCATAATGGTCCTTGGATTAACATTGTGAAAGATTATTAGCTTGGACCTACTACAAATAAAATGACATTTAGTGGCATAGAAAAAAGTGCCACTAAAAACCAAAAAAGTGCCACTAAAGGCCCCCTTGGTAATCAGCGGCACAAAAAAAAATGTCACTAAAAGCGCTGCCACTAAAGGCCTTTAGTGACACTTTTTGGTTGCGTTGCTGCAGCCTTACTGGGTTTTAGTGGCACTTTTCTACTTTGCCACTATAGTACTTGTAGGTTTTAGTGGCACTATTTTTATGCCACTATTTAACTTGCTAAAATAAATAACATTTTCATGCTTCTAGTGACACTTTTGTTTAACATAATTTTTTTAACAAATCAAGGCTGAATTTTTTAATTTAAATAGAATATAAAATAATAATAAGACAACTAAGATAATGAATAAAAAACACAATATCATTAATGCATTTCCACCTTGTTTACAACAATATTCAAACTTGTGCTAATATTCAAAACACAATACTATCGAACTAAATATTTGTCGGGGAAACATGAAACTTGATTGACCGCAAACTCTGTATAATTGCTCATCTTGAGTTTTTCTTCTTTAGACAATAACACACACGCACACCGTTTGAGGTCCTGCAATG